ACGTTTACTCTGGTGCATCTGTAAGGTAAGGGTATATCAAAAAGGATTAACCAATGGAGAGCAATTGCATTGAATATCAGTAGTATCACCTCATAGACTGTGGATCTTGACAGCATAAAAGGGGAAGAGGAGAAAGCTAGCTAACACAGGTCTCTCTCTCTCTCTCTCTCTCTCTCTCTCTCTCTCTCTCTCTCTCTCTCTCTCTCTCTCTGTCTTTCTCTCTTTCCCAACCCCATCTCTCTCTGGCTCTTGGCTGCTGTGATAGGAGCTGCTCTGCTTTGCCACACATTTCCTGCCCTGATGACTTGAAACCTGTGAACTGAGTCAAGGTAAGAAATCCATTTGGTTGGCCGGGCGGTGGTGGCGCACGCCTTTAATCCCAGCACTTGGGAGGCAGAGCCAGGTGGATCTCTGTGAGTTCGATGCCAGCCTGGGCTACCAAATGAGTTTCAGGAAAAGGCACAAAGCTACACAGAGAAACCCTGTCTTGAAAAACCAAAAAAAAAAAAAAAAAAAAAGAAAAAAGAAAGAAATAAATCCATTTGACAAATATCAGGTATCCTGTTATACCAATGAAAAAGTCCAACACAACGGAATAGTCCTATGTTATCAATAATAAGTGATTGAGATTGATTTCTTGCTTATCAATACATCCACTTTTAAGTTTAAGATGCAAATATTAGGGGCTGTAGAGATGGCTTATCAGTTAAGATCTAGTACTGCTTTAGTAGAGGACCAAGATTCAGTTCACGGCATCCACATTAGGTAACTCCAGTTCCATACAGTCTGATTCCCCCTCCTGGCTTCTGCAAGCACCATTATGCATGGGGTACAAATAAACTCATGCAGGCACATGTGCACACATTTACACACACACACACACACACACACACACACACACACACACACACACACTTAAAATACCAAAAACTAAAAATTTATTTTTGGATATGATTAAAGCAAAAACTTACAAAAACATTGCAAATTACTTTTAAACCACTTGCCCTTTAATCAGTTTCAACCAAAGTGTATCTGAGATCTGAGTAACAAATTCTAATTTATGGATTCCCAATGTTGTGTGAAAACTCAGCTCTATTTAGCAAATGAGAAATTTAGTTTGCAATTACATCTATGGCCTAAAGACATTAACTTACAGGTTGAGTATGGTAGTTTGTCAAAAATCCTCATCATCTAAGTGAGCTCAGATAAAAATTGAAAATCAGAGCCACCATGAATGCGAGAAGTCAATGTGAATCAGGAAACATTTCTACTAAACTTGAAACCAATGTTAATTTCAATGTATGGTTTCACAAAACCAACTTTTATTATAAAAATATATTCCCTCTATTTTGCTCCCATGTAAATGTTACCTTGTAGCTAGGCAGAGGAAAGCATGTATACTGGTATACTGTCAAGAACTTCAGATTTCTAATGTATTCATTAATTGTTCATCTATCTAATCTGATAAGTCAGAGAAAAATGTTATCACTCAGAAGCACATCCTGTTTAAAAAGTGGGGGACAAAGTTAAGATTCAGCATGGTTGCTAACTCTATGAGTCAACAGTACAATGCCTAGCCAAAAGAAGTAATGTAATCACTGGTTGCATCAATGACAGTGTTCCCACACAAAGGGCATCAAATTCCCAGACTGGGCCTGAGATATGGTTCATTCTGGCCAGCATGTTTTTATGAGGAGGTTGAGAAATAAAAGTTTGCTCAAAGAAAGTAACCAAAATTTTGAGAAACCTGACAGTCAGGGCTTACAGAAATGAGGTTATATGACATTTATTGAAAATACTTGTCAAATTGGCAAATTACTTCAGATACTTTAAAGATTTATATATAAAAATGTTGAGACAGGAAAGACGGCTCAGCAGTTAAAAGTACTTCCTGCTCTTCCACAGATCAGAGTTCAGTTCCCAGAACCAGTGTCTAGTGGTTCACAAATGCCTGCAAACCCTAGTCCAGAGGATCTGAAGCCTCTGTTGGTCTGTGCAGCAGCTACATACATGTGCCATACAGTCATGTGGGCATACATAAATAAAAAGATAAACATGTTTTAGACCTACATAAAGTAAAATTGTTAATAAACTCTAGGAAGTCAAACTGTGATCATAAGAACTTGCTAATAACGGGAGGGAACAAAGTTGCAATGAATCGTGATTCTCCCATATGAGTTCAAGTATTTATTTAAACTGGATGATGTGATAAATTGTACAAACAACTGATCTGATTGCAGTGAGGGCCTTTAGTCATTTTACACTGTACACTTCTGCTTCTTCACCAACAATGGAGTCCACTAGTTCAATGGAGTGAGAAAATGAGTTTGTAAATTGGGCTTGTGACACTGGAAACACTGGCATGCTAAGACCTCTGAAAGTTCAGGGACAAAATTCAAAGCTGTGTGATTGCTGCTAAAGTAGACATGGAGAAATTATGCAGGGGAAAATGCATTTCATATATTCCAAAATGCAATGTGCAGAGAAAGAAGAAAGGAGGACACATCCTGAGAAACCGGTGTCAGTCATTTACAATTCAAGCAAGTGCTAAGTCATTATCAATATTGTAAGGATTTACTGTAGAGGGGAAAATGTTCGTCATTTTCCAAGGAACATGTTAGGATCTGCTGACCGCCTCCATCATAACTAAATGTGCTAGGTCAGAAGCAAAGAAGGGAAGGGACTTGTAACTTGTCAGATTTCAGCAGATTTTGAGGCCCTGGGCTCTGTATTGTTCTTCTTCTCCTTCTTCTTTTTTTAGTTGTTATTTAAGCATGCTGAAGCAGGACTATCATGAACAGCTTCCTGTGTGAGTCAGGTCCTGGCTAGAAGTGATGTTGCCATGTTACCATAGCTGTGGTTCTGCATGTACTTTCTTGAGTGGGCAATGCTTCTTTCCCCTTCTGTTTGTGGTCTCCCGTACTTTGGACTTTCAGCCTGTCTTCTGCCTTCTTTGAGATTGGGACTTTGTTTTTTCTGAAGTTTGCAGTAGCTTAACCTCCTTTAACTTGTTTATACCCAATGTTCAGCTTTAGTTCTACACATCTTTTGAAGTTTTCTAACTTCTCTAATCCACTGCTACCTTGAGCCAGGTTGTAGCTCTTCCCAGAAATGATTAGATGCTGTAGGTATCAATTTAAAAAGTTTATTTTTTATTAATTAAATTTATTTATTTATTTTACATCCTGACCGAAGTTTCCTCTCCCTCTTCTCCTCCCATTCCCTCTAGCCACCTCCCCTCTGCCCTTCTCCAACCCATCCCTTCTCTGTTTCTGTTCACAAAGGGGCAGGCCTCCCATGGGTATCAACAAACCATGGCACAATTTTAAAAGTTTTAAGTAAGCCATCTCTCAAACAAAATGGACTGTAGCCTCCTAAGAACCTGTAAGAAATAGGTCTCAGCTCTAAGGACAACTTACGGTGAAGCTGTGTGTGAAGATCTATGGAATAGACTCCCTTACTTTACTGCTTGGGCAGTGTGCTCAGTCTTGTGCCAGCAAACAAGAGTTGTGTAGCAAAAGAGTTCTTACTCATCCCAGGGAATGTCTTACACTAGAGTCATTAGGACATGTGCTTCCTTTCTCTCCTGCCAGCTTACTAGAATGCTTTATGATTGCTCTACCTTTGCTTACTCTGTACTACCTTCCTTTTTCTTTCCTCTACACAGAACTAAAAACTCTGCAGCGCCTCACGTATGGAAGCATGCCTCCTCTTCGACCTTTCCAGCCTCCTAAAAAGGAATTAGAGGTTAAAAAAAGGCATCTTAAACATAGAATTTAAATATGGGGGTAAGCGGGTGGTAATCACATGGAAAAAAGCATTTGACAAAGCAATTTATCACTTAATTTTTAAAGACATATATGTTTCAAGTGAATTTAATTTGCATATTTTCTGACTCATTTCCATCCCATTATCCTAAGCTCTTTTTAAAGAGTTGCTGGGTTTTTACATTATCAGAACAAGCGCTTGTGTCATCTGTGACTTCCTAACCTTTGTTTTCGGGAATTTGACTACAGGAAAATTCTTCATCTAATCTCAATGCCTCGGCCATCTTCTGCTTAAGAAAGAAGCATGGAGAGCCAGACCCTGGTGGTTTCTCTTCTGTCTGAAAAGTTACACTATTGCTGGTGGCTTTGAGTACCAGGGTTTTCATTAAAACTTCCTTCATTGTTTCAACTCACTCTTTTAGCACGTTAAATTTATTCACTTGTGAGAATGGGACAACTGTCCAAAATGCATGGGGAGGCTGGAGTGAATGGGTTGCCTAGTGGCCTCACTGGGATACTTCTCCTATTTCATTTTACTGTGTTTCCATTGATTCATCGCAAACTCATGCACTTACTAATCAACACACGATTGCTGACTTGGCTTTTGCAGGCGGTCTGTTAAAACTCAGGTGTCCTTACAGTCCACATAAGCAACATCCACGCTGAAGCAGTGAAGTGTCATTGGCTGCACTTAATTCCAAGATGGCATTTTAAAGCAACTAGATTTTGCAGAGGAAAATGTTGATTATGTTGATGTTTGGAGCTCCAGATTATGTCAGAGCCCAGAACAGCAAGATGCATGCTTCTAGAGCTGAGCTGACGAAATGACACGAAGCATGGATTTCTTGGAAGGTTTAGTATGTGTTAGACATCTTTTCTGTGCTTTAGACGTGCATGTGGTCTTTCTCACTTACTATTCACCAAACAAGTAAGCAAATTCCATTAACCTTCATTTGTCAACGGGGATATTGAGGTACAGGGAATGTTGTCAGAGGACACATAGCTACAAAACAATCAAGCAAGGATTCAGTGCTAGCTATTTGGATGCCTGGGATAGCTCTTAGGATTTCAGACAAAGTTGTTATTATAATATCTCAAAATCGAAACATGCACACATTCACACACATACATGCACGCACACCACACACACACACACACACACACACACACACACACATGCACATGTGCATTAGAAGAGCATTTTAAGGGACGAATTAGCATTGGTTTCTGGGAAAAACACTGACTGGTACTAAAGAGCTATTGAATTTTATTTATTGTCTCTCTTTTTAACAATGTCTTTAAATAAGATACATTACTGCATTTATTCCATGGTCTTCATCAGCAAACTAAAGATCAAATTAAAAAGAAAAATACTTTGCCCTGTAGGCTTTCATGACTCACTGGCCCCATAAAAGCAGGCACTGCTGAAAGCCTTTGAAGCCAGGCAGGTCTCTGGGTTGGGTGCCGAGCCATGACTGAGGACAGTGCACAGAGCTGGGATCTGTTCTCCCTGTTGGGCTCAGTTCTGGGTATGGCTTGTCAGCTGTTGCTTATTTTTCCTGTTCAATCTTTTCTTATCAGAGGCAGAAGGCATAAAGGATGCCATCTGGGATTGCTTGTTTAGATACAGCATGGTGTTAACAAGTTTTCCTCTCTCTTCCTCTTTCTTGTTTATTGCTAGTTGCAAGGAGCAGCAGTACACATGTCCAAATGAAGCTATCGGGATCTGTTCTTCATCACGAACTTCAGGGGCGAAGGGAAAGGGGAGGCAGGAGATGGGAGTATAAAGGAAAGCAGGTAAGAACTGTTGGGTTGTGTGAAGCAGCATAATCATGTTCAGCACCTAGAGGAGTTTCCAGATCAAGCTATTTGAAACTGTGAAACAAAACCTATGAAATTGCCTTGACACCCTCTCAGGGAGTTGTAGAGGATGGTGTTTTCCTTGGAATCTGAAGGCTGGTAAAAGCATGACACTTCCTAACCTGGTAAGAAGATTTTTGATAGTTCAGTGTTAGCAGCTTAAGTTTCAGTTAAAAGATCTTTGAAACCATGCTCTGCCACTTGAGAGCTGGTAGAGGATGCTGCTCCTGCTCTACAGAGACTCCATTCAGGTGGACTTTGCACCTGTCAGCAGCTCCTGTGATTGTTGACTGCTAAATCTAGCCAAGCTTATCCTATTATTAAATATCCTTATCAAAAATGGAAAGAGCCCTCTTGGAAACCAAAGCCCAACTGACAGTCTGGCATAGAAACATTTGCCCTTGTGTGCTTTGGTCTTCTGTAGGAGGAAGGTGATGGTGGACTTTAACTGAGGTTGCAGTCGTCCCTTAAATAAGTGACAGGTTTTCATTTTGCTTCTGCAAAAAGTGACCTAAGGCATTAGTGAACATTTGAAGTCATTTAGTCTCTCTTTGCTTTAGTTTTCTTAACTGTTAAAGCGAGGTTGGGGCTGGTGATATGGCTCAGGGGGTAAAGGTGCCTGCCATCAAGAATGACCACATGAGTTCAATCCCCAAGGATGCACAAGAAAAAGGAGAACCAACTCCTGCAAGTTGTCCTCTGACCTCCACATGCACAGGGTGGCATATGCATGCCCATATACATACACATATATGCACACTATCTAAATAAATAAAATAGAAATCAAAGTTCGGGTAATGATATTGGTGATATTAATGGTTTTACAATTTTGTTTCAGTGTTTTTGCATAGTGCTTGGCTCATGACATAAGTAGCTATAGCACCAATTACATTGATTCGTCTAATACTGGCTAGATGGATTGGCAATTCTGATGAACAGGTGCCCCTTTAGACATTCTGAAACAGTAGAAAGGTTAGTCACCTCCACTGCTTAGGAATGAGAATAATTACTATAGCCTGAATATCCTGGCTTCTAATTAGATTTCTTTCAAGAAAGGAATCAGTCCCAGCTGAGTCACAGGCAAGCTCTTGATTTCCCCGTGCTCAGTACTCATGCTCCAACGTGAAACGCCTGTGGACTGCTTCTACAGTGTGCTCACACGCTGCTGGCAGTCATCTGTATTTCTGCAATGACAAACACTGCTTGCCTCAGACAGAAAATATCCATGCATAAAATAAGTCTCCATACTGCTAGTGTCTAAATTAGGAAATGTAAAAGCCAATTCGTGTAAGCCAGCAGGCAAAGCCAACAGCAGTGCTGGCTGTGAAAAGAGCAAACTTCCCATCCTGCAGTGGGGCCTCCCCCATTGTGCTAATGGGTCCTTTCCAAAGCTAGTGTTGGAGACTGCACAGCAGCCAGCACCTTGGAACAGATATGCATTCAGAACACCAGCAAGTGAGGGTCAAGGAAATAGCACCAGTCCAAAGAGTTACTGAAAGCCCCGAGGAGCTCTGAATTTCCAAACAGAACTGTCTATAATGAGCAAGAGATCCAAAAGGGGAATTTTGGTGCTTATTGCAAAACCCTCTCTGCAATGTGTGGCATCAGGAAAATGTATCTGTGATTTGCTGAATGCTATGTAGTATCTACCTGGGGTCCTTAATTCCTAGGAACTAGGTATTTCAGTCACTCATCTATTCAGTCACTTGATCTATTCAGTCATTTCCCATTCCCTCTCCCCAGCTTCAACATACTCCAGTCACTCTTTACCTTCCTAGAAAAACACCACAGGAAGATAGAAGTTATGTTTTGATTTATCAGTGTTACAAAGAAGAATTACTTTTGTCTAGTGTGTTACTATTCTTCAAACTCCAATTTCTATTTCCCTTGGAGTCTTGGTCATGTATGCACACTGTACACAATTAGATTACAAACGTCCTTAGGCAAGGAACTGTTTTATTGACTGCCCTGTAATTGCACATAACAATTGCTCTGTGGATACAAGATTTAAGTTATCTTCCAACTGGTTTATGAATTTTCAGAAAATTAACATTGTTATGTATGCTAACTAGTGTGACTACCTAAAATACGTGTATGTTGCTCCATTTTGTGTGTCTTTAGCACAGCTACTGATGAAATTAGCACACAGATGATGAAGACCTGTCTTAGTTTGTTAAGGGTTGTCTGACAGATTACCAAAAGTTATGTGGCATGAACAATGGGAAATTTGTCTCAAATGCTAAGTATGAATCAAGGTATTAGCAGGCCTTGCTTCTACTCAGAAGTTCTGAGGAAGAGCTTGTTCCCTGACTGCCCTGGGTTCTAGTGGTTGTTGGCAGGCCTTAGTGTTCCTTGGCTTATGGTTGCCTCATTGCAGTATGTGTCTTAGTTTTCTCCTGGCTTTCAACTTCTGTATGTTTCTTGACGTGTTTTTCTCTCCCAAGAATACTTATCGGCGGATTTAAGGCCACCTCAACTAATTCAGAGGGATTTAAAATTTCACTGAAGTCTATGAAGATCTATTTCTAAACAAGGTCATGATCACAGGTTAAACATAACTTTGAGGTACCATCTCAACCTAGTCAAGAGTTCTAAAATTTCCAAGAGAATTACTTAGAATAGAAGTTGCCTATGAAAGCACAGATATAATATCTAGTATCAGCTAAGGACTACAGCATGAGCAAATGAATCTTGGAATGAATGAGGATCCAAAGTCATGTGAGCAGGTGCTGAACACTCCAACCAACCCAGACTCTTCTAATAATCCAGGTCCACAGCTGATCTAGCTTTCAGCCATGTCAGATGATCTTTCATCTGCACTTTTACTTCTTATTTTGTTTCTCTTATTTTCCAAGTCAATGTCGTGATGGTGGGTATTTGCAATAATAGCACCCAGTAAATTTGTGAAGTATAGAAATTCTGAATTTACCATTTCTGTGTCTTCCTTAACACCTTCTTATGATCAACACCATTTCTTTCAACTTTCACTGCATCTATTTATGAACATTACAATTAACTAAATTATGATTCCTTATTTTTGTTCATTTATTTGTTTGGTTTTTCAAGACAGGGTTTCTCTGTGTAGTCTTGGCTGAACTGGAACTGGCTCTGTAAACCAGGCTGGCCTTGAACTCATAGAGACCCACCAGCCTCTGCTTCCCAAATGCTGGGATGAAAGGCATGCTCCACCACATCCAGGGTATGATTCCTTATTTTTAATCACTACTCTTTTACACCCTGATTTAAGCATCCACCTAAATGTCTGCTAAAGAGATACTAGATCCTTCTTAAGTGGGAAGAGAATTTTGAAATTGCACCAAAAATACTTGTCTCCTCCTAGTCTTTCATATACCTCTTATCAACAACATACTCCCAACAGTAAAGAAGGATGCTGCTGTGGAAGGCAGCTAAGCATCCTGAGTGTGTGTGTGTGTGTGTGTGTGTGTGTGTGTGTGTGTGTGTGTGTGCTTTCCCATTTGCAGGCTCACAGATGTCTGAGAAGGAAGTTAGATGTCCTATCTTGTCACTCTCCACCTTAATCCTCTGAGACAGGGAACCTCCTATCTCTGAGCCACCCCTACTGAGCTGGGTTTATAGGAACATACGCTTGGCCACTTGTAGAGTTTTAATGGGTTTTGAAGATCTCAATTCAGGTCCTCATGCTTGCAGACCAAGCCATCTTTACCCCTTGGAGCCACCTCCTAAGCTCTTTTGTGGAGCCAGTTAGAGCAAGCTAAATTGATGGACAACTTATATCTCAAAATGACTCTTTAATGAAACATGCCTGCTGATGTCCACAGAAACCAGAGGCAGACAAAACAAATACTAAAATAGGAAATTCAAGCCTGACACTTGGTTTGAGCTTCTGAGGCTGAGCTTTTTCCCTATCAAGTTGACCTGTTTCCTGACAGCTCCAGGAAAATCTGTAGATGGGATTTTCTCCCAGAGGGTAGCTGCCACCACTTGCTCAGGGTTTTATCACTTGAGAAACTCTGCCAGCGTGCAGCACACCCAGGTCTAGGCTGACGGGCTGACAAGGCACAAACTTGATTTTCTTCTCTGTCTAATCAGACAGTTCATTGTATCATTTCAACTTTAATATCCTAAGATACTGGGGACAGTATATCCTGATCTTGCCTTAAAATGATAATTTTAAAATGATTACTTTAAAATGATTACTACTTCTCGTAGTTTCCTTTTATGATCTCTCTTTTCCAGATTGCTCCTAAACACTCCTGAACCATTTTTCTTTAGCTAAAGTACCTTTTACAGTTTGCATTCCATCCATCTCTAAATTTCTACCTTTGAACTGAGCAAAGTGCTTTAGCAAATGTTTCACAAAATAAGACTGGGCTTGTTGTTCAAGGTCTACTTTTAACTGGTCATCTCTCCCCAACCCCACCACCCCCAAAAAAACTCCAGACCAACCAACCAAACAAACAAACAAACATACAAACAAACCACTTGTCTTGAGCCAAAGGAGATGGAACAAGGAAGTGTTTTCTATGGAAATCTCACCTATACTGTACTGTCTTGGTCACAGCTGACACTTTGGTTGAGAAATGCTTGTGAAAGAAACAGAACCATGGGAACTGAGCCACCATAATCCCTCACTCTGCAAGAATAGAAAGGAAAAGAGACACTTAGATACTTAGAAGATTCCCTTCCTTCCTTCCTTCCTTCCTTCCTTCCTTCCTTCCTTCCTTCCTTCCTTCCT